ACATTTTATGTACTATGCTACCATGTGGGAAAAACTGTAAGGGGGCATGAATATATACCCATATACTTGAAAATTTTATAGGCTATGTCCAGAAGGCTACACAAGAAACTGGTAACTGGTTGCCTCTGGAAAAACAAATTGAGGGACCAGAATAATTAGGGGTGGATTGACTCACACAGGACGATTATTCAAGTAATTTAATTTTTTTGTTCTATGTATGTATTACTTTTAAAAAGCTGTGCCCTTCCCTTCTATCCCTAAAGTGCTGGACCTAGATGGTTTCATAGGTCATTCATTTAAGTCTTCAAGGAACACGTAATTCCTACTCTTTAAGTTTCTCCAAAAAGAAGAAAAAGGAAAGTTTACAAATTTATTCTAGAGACATAGTGCAAACATAGTGTTGAACCTGACAAAGAGCACCAAGTCAATAGCACAGCATTTAAGCACTGCATATATGAAGCTCGATCTCACATGGCCAACCATGGTTTGAGTCTTGGCCCCAATGATTTAAAAAATATTTCAAGTACATGTGTGTACATGTCTGAAATCCCGATGGGATGGAGAAACGGAGAAGAGATCACACCAGGACCATGCCCTATTGTGGGGTTCTCTCTCTCTCTTTTCCTCCCACCTCCCATCTTTCTCTCTCTGTAACAATTTAAAAACTTGACAGGGCTGGCCCCATGGCCTAGTGGTTGAGATGAGTCATATCTCACATGGTCAATCAAGTAGTTGGAGTCCTGACTCCCACAGCTTGTGCATGGGTGCCCAAAATCTTGACAGGATGGAGAAATGGAGAAGGGATTGTGGCAACCATACCCCATTGGAGGGTGCTTACTCCCTCTCCCCCTCTCTGTCCCTGTTGAGCACAAACACCATCTGGCAAAAACAAAAACAAAAAAAGCCTGACACTGGGCTAGGAGGAGGTCAGGTTATAAAGCAGTTGTGGATACAGTCAGGTTATCTGGGTTCCTTTTCAGGTTGCATATACTCTTACCCTATTAAACAAACAAAGTAGGAGATAGGCATGAGATAGAATAGAGTGTGCTCTACTTTTGAATAGTCAATTCACAAAGACTACAAGGTAGCTAGCTCTAAAGGTAAAAGGATATAAAGGACATAAACCCATAGATTGAGAATCGCCATGGGTCTGGCCTATAGCATAGCAGTTATGCCCTATAAGTGTTAAATGTCCCATGTTAAATATAAGGATAATGAACATATAAGAATTTAAATCCCTAGGGTCATTAGGTGGCATGGTGGTTAAGATGCTGACTCCAACATAGCCAACTTCAGTTCAAGTCCCAGACCTGGAAGCTTGCTTTCTCTCTCTCTCCTACATGTGCCCTGTAGCAAATTAAAAAATAGTAATAATAAATAAAATTAAATAAATAATTCTTTAAAAACTAATTTAAATTCCTTACACTATACATTTCCTCCTTATACTTCTTAGTAGAACACTTTTGTTCAGCGTGACAACATATCCAGTCATAAGTAATGAATCATGATTGATTCAAGTCAACTATAACAGTCTTGTTCTCCAGTTTCCCTGCTTCCTTGCCATAACCATATAACCCAGTTCTGGCAAATGAGAAAAAAAAAAGTCATGCAAGCAAGGCTTCTAGGAAATCTTTTACTTTACTAAATAGAGAAGATGGACTCAGCTTGCATGGTTTACCTCTTTTCTCAATCTTGTCTTAAATGCAGACATGATAATAAGAGGTTCAACAATTCAAACCACCTTGTAACCAAGTAGACAAAGATGAGGACAAAAGGCCACATGGTAAGTGTAGTCTTTTTATGTCTTGTGTATTTTTTAAAACAATCATGATATGTATTTACTGTAAAAAAATACATGATCTTCATTAAAATGGGGATATAGTATCAATACTAACATTTCAAAGAAATTTGGCAAGAAAGCCTAAATGAGAAAATATTGGGTCATCAGAAAAGTCATGACACATTTTTACATAGGAAAACACAAAAAAATATGTTATGACTTTTCCAATGACCCAATAGCAAGGTATTAAAGGTAAAGTTGAGTACCCCCGTGCAATAGGAATGAGGAACTGAAAAGAGTAGAGTAGAAAAGGAGGGAGAAGCATTAATTGGGCATACATTTTAGCTGAGCAACTGAGGGTCAATTGCACTGAGCTGTCATGGGGAGTACTATTTAGAATTATCTATTGGAGGGACAGAAGAGAGCAATGTTTCTCTACAGCTCCTTTATCCCACTGATCAGGGATAGCTTCCTGGAATGTTAACTCCTTGCATCACCAGAGTTGTGCATGTTTCAGAATGGCAGAATTGGATCCCACAGGCAAGAAAGAATCCTACAAACAAAAAGTGAGATAACGTAGAGTAGTCAATTTACCATCGAGTTCAACTTGCTTATAAAATGGTGGGCTCAGAGAATGTTCACAAAAGGTGTTCAAGGTTGGGGCCAGCAGGTGATATGGTAGTTGGTGCACAGGACTCCCATATGGCCTTCTGCAGTTCAAGTCCTGGATCAGGTGGCATGCTTTGACTTTCCCTCTCTCTTTGTCTCTCTCTCGTCAAATCTAAATAAAATAGCAAATAAAATTAATTAAATAAAGGTGTTCAATGCTTAGTCTGAACCCAAGATGATAGACATTTGAAAAATTATGGTGGCAACAGGGGTGTCAAGAAGCAATTTTGCTTTTATTTTTTTCTTTACTTTTTATATTTATATTTACAAAAAAGAAAAAAGAAAAAGAAAAAAGAAAGTGTATTGAATAAGCACACAAACTCTAGAGCCAGAATATCTGGGGTTGAATCTCAGCTCCACATTAATAAATCGTGAGTTTTGTCAAGTTACTAAACCTCTCTGTATTTCAGTTTCACCATCGGGAAAGTGACGATAATAGCAATACCTACCTTATAGTATTTTGAGGACTAAATGATTTAAATGCCAGCTGGAAATATTTACATGTTGGTTGTAAAAATTAAGAATATATATGTATATGAAATAACAAAATTAAGTATCCCATGTTTGTTAGAATGTTTTTGTTTTCAAGTAAGAGAAATTCAACTCATACTGCCAGTGTAATTCGGAGCAGGCAAGAGCCATGAATGAAGTATTGAGGTAGGAAGCCTTGGGTCCAGGCATTTGGAAAGTGGTATACAGTTATTCTGTCAGCAGAGTTAGGTCAAGGGGTTGGGGAAACTGAGGGGTATAATGGAACTTGGACAAACTGAGTGGTGAATGTTAGTATCTAGGTAGCCAAGGGGAAGTGTTCCTTCCCCTTCTTCCTCCAATTGGTTTCTTCTGCCTCTTTTTCTGGTCCTTCACTTCATGGCCTTTTAGCAGCAGGGTCCTCCCCTTTTCTAAGTACTGGGAAAGAGGTTATAGAACCATCGTGGGGGACCAGCAGTTAGCGTAATGGCTATGTCGCTGGACTCCCACGTGGTCGACCGCAGTTCACGTCTCGGACCCGGTGGCTTAAAACTCATGCCCGGTGCGTGTGCGTGTGTGCCCAAAATCCCGAGAGGAGAATGGAAGAGAAGGGATTGCGGCATGACCATGCCCCCTGGGTGGTGATTTCTCGCTTTCTGTCTCTCTGTCTCTCTCTGCCTGTCTGGCGAGCGCACGTGCCCCATAGCAAAAACCTCAAAAAAAAAAAAAAAAAAAAAAGGAAGAATTTCTTGCTTCTGGGCCGGCCAATGGCATGGTGGTTAAGGTGGCTGGATCCCTCATGGCCAGGCACGCAATAAGGTTTGGACCCAGTGGCTTGAAAAACACAACAGACACATGTGCCTGCATGTACATAATCCCAAAAGTAGAGAGAAATGGAGGATAAAATAGCAGTGTGGCCATCCTACATAAAGGATGCTTTCTCACTTTCCTTCTCTCTTTTTTTCTCTTTCTCCAGTGAGTGCATGTGCCCTCTGGCAATATTTTTTTTTTAAAGAATTCCTCAACTGAGTTGACAAAAAGAACTTAAAAATAGAATCTCTGGTCAATGTTTGTTCTGAATAATATCTAAAAAGTACACTTTTGGAAAGCAATCAAAACATATTCAATTAGATTGTCATTAAAATTATACATAGAACGGAACTAGCAGTTAGGGTAATGGCTATGTCGCTGGACTCCCACGTAGTCGACTGCGGTTGAGTCTGGAACCCTGTGGCTTATGTGCCTGTGTGTGCATGCCCAAGATCCCGAGAGGAGAATGGAGGAGAAGGGATGGCAGCATGGCCATCCCCCCCTCCGGGGTTATTTTGAAACAGAGCATGAACCCCCTAATGTATTTTCTAGGGTTCCTAAAATATAAAGTCCATTTGCATTGTAATGACCCAGAGTAAGGGGTACCTCTTCAGACTTTGGTTATGATAATGACCAATATGGACCATGAGGAGGGCCATTTGACCTCTAAAACTCTCACTTAAAGGAAAGAAGATTTTCATTTCAATATGTAAGATGCTTTGTAGACTAAAAACTGCTGGTTGTGAGCTCAGAGACTCCAGGCTAAATGGTTCCAGACACTGGAAGAGGAATTTGATTACCTAAGGCCTCACCAATCAGGAATGC